ACACTGGGATTAAGATAACAGAAAGAGCTGGTTCAGCGTTTGCTCTGCTTTTCTACGCTGCTGTTGATGCTAATTCAAGATAAAAGTGGAGGCAAGGAAGTGTTTGAAACTGCTGTTAACGCTGTTGAGTAATCACTTCTTCGTGTCTGTATCAGGAGAAATGACCGGAGTCTGCGTGAACAGGACCAAGACCTGCGAAGTGCTGGCCTGGTGTCCGGTGGAGGACGACCGCGACGTGCCAGAGTACGACAAACTGAAATGTTCACGACGATCACCTGTGGAAGCAAATGTGCTCATTTTAAACCTGTTTCTGTTTCAGTCCTCCGCTGCTGTTGTCTGCAGAGAACTACACGCTGTTCATCAAGAACTCCGTCACGTTCCCCGCGTTCCGCGTCTCGAGGTGACGGAGACGCGTTTACCTCAGAAGACGTGATGACGTGATGAGTGTGATGAGTGTGATGAGTGTGTCACACTCTGGCATAACTAGTGTAACTTTATAAAACAGCTGTGGTCAGAAATCTTCCGTCAGTGGCACAAATTTGTTTTTTATACTCTTCAGTTTTTACTGAGATGTTTGTTCACGTTTCTATGATGTCATAAAGATCACAACGATTTTATACGTTTCAGTTTCTTCTGTAACGTTTGTGTTATTACAGCAAGCTCGCCAAATGAAACACAAAACAGAGCTCCACAGTAAACTCTGTTCTTCTTTTAACTCTGATATCTTCAGCTTCTAAATCAAACCACAAGTTTAATCACTAATTTTGGTAAAAGTACAGAAAGCGTCAAATATTTCACTGTTTTTTTTCTGTCTGTTTTTAATGTTTCGTTTTCAGGAGCAACCTGGTGGAGGACGTCGACTCCAACTACATCAGCAGCTGCCTTTATCACCCGCTCGACGCTCCCCTGTGCCCCATATTCAAACTGGGAGACATTATTCAACTTTCTGGCTTAAACTTTCAAACAGTAGCTAAAGTGGTGAGTTAGAAACTCTTGTCACGTTTCCGTGTTTTGCTTCTCTTCTTCTCCTGTTGTGATGAAGACGGCGTTTGTGTCCCGACAGGGAGGAGCCATCGGGATTGTGGTCGACTGGACGTGTAACTTTGACGTGCATGTAAAACACTGTAAACCAGAGTACACCTTTCACGG